TCCATTGGTTATGCTTATATGCATGCATACAAGTCCTTCAGTTGATCTCTTGTTTTGAGATTCATGTTTTCAATGTATTAGCAGTTGATTTCCCTTTAATTCTGAGTAATATTCCTTTGTATGAATATACCACAGTTTATTAATACATTCACCTATTGCCCGGCTGGTGTGGCTCAGTGGTTGAGCATCGACCTATGAACCAGGAGGTCATGGTTTGATTCCCAGTCAGGGCACATGCCTGGGTTGTGGGCTCAATCCTCAGTGTGGGATGTGCAGGAGGCAGCTGATAAATGATTCTCATCATTGATGTTTCTATCCCTCTCTCCCTCTTCTTCCTCTCTGAAATCAATAATATATATATATCTATCTCCTAGTGGGTTATTTAAATAACTTTAAAAAATACATTCACCCATTGTTGGACATATTATTTCCAGTTTTGGTAATAAATAAGACTGCTGTGAAACTTTGTATACAAGTCTTTGTATGGACATATACTTTTATTTCTCTTGGCTACATAAATACCTAGGAGTAGAATGGCTAGATCATATGGTAGGTATATGCTTAACTTTTAAAGAAACTATCGGTTTTTTGAAGCAGCTGTCCTATTTTGCATTCCCACCAACAGTGTATAAGAGGTTCAGTTCTTCCACATCCTTATCAATCCTTGGTATAGCCAATCTTTTAAATTTTAGACATTCTAATTTATAGTGGTATCTCACTGTGTTTTTAATTTTCATTTCTTCAATTAGTGATGCTTAGCATATTTGCTATCCATATAGCTTTGGTGAAGTGTCTTTTCACATTTTCTGTCAATTTTTAATTGGGTTCTGTGTTTTCATATTACTGAGTTTAAGAAGTTCTTTATATATTCTGGATGTAAGTCATTTTTAAGACATAAAATTTGCAGATATTTTCTTCTACTCTTTCCATTCTCTTTAATGGTGTCTTTTAAAGAGAGACATTCTTAATTTTGATAAAGTCCAATTTATAATTTTTTTCTTTTATGGGTTGTGCTTTTGTTGCTTTAGCTAAGAAATCTTTGCCTAAGTTAATATCACAAAGACATTGTCCTATATTCTAAAAGTCTTAGTTTTTACATTTAGATCTATCATCCACTTTGAGTTAATTTTTATGTATAGGACAAAGTATTGATCAAATGTCATTTCTTTTATTTCTTTACATATGGAATACAATTGTTGTAGAACCATTTGTTTAAAAGACCATTCTTTCACTAAGTTTCCTTGTACCTAGGTTATACCTAGGTTGAAAATCTATATATGTGTGGTTTTATTTCTGGACTCTCTTTTCTGTTTCATTATTGATCTGTTTGTTTATCTCAGTGGTTGGCAAACTGCGGCT